AAAAAAAAAAAAAAAAAAAAAGAAGAAGAAAACATGAGTTAAAAGACATATGACTTGAAATGAGAAAACAACATCTCGGATTTGTTGTCGGGAACAGGGATTTAGCTAGATTTTTCGGTGGCTTTGACTTCTATCCTTGTGATGTGGCGATAACCCACTTTTTTTTTTACTGCAACACAAAGTAATGAGGAAACTGGAATAACCCAAAAAGAGAGGGTTGAAGTAGAACATACCCTTCGTTTTTGGAAGGTTGAAGATCACTGTAGAGCCCGTAATGGACTTGACTTTGATTTCTTCCAACAATAATGATTATTCATCTATTTCTCTCGTTCCATGAACATTAAGAAAAAAAAATTGATCTTCAATCAACTTCGAGGCACCTTCTTTTTTTGTAATATATAGACAATACATCATCAATTTGAATGGTTGGTTGCAACTCACTTGCATGAGGTTGACATAGCTAGTAATCCTTGGTCAGTCATACAACAACAAATTTGTTCTCGACCCGTCACACTATAAAAGTTGGGATAAATGAGATTTCAGATTGAGTGATAATATATTTTTTAATTTTCTTAGAAAAACAAAATAATATTAAACTTTTTAATCTCATTTTAATAAAAGTTATCGTATGCTATTTTAAAAATTTTAAAACATCATATTAACCTTCAAAGTAATTTTATTTTATTTTAAAAAGTTGGAGGATATTAAAGGTAAAGATATTTTTAAAATAAGTATTAATAATTTTCATTAAAAACTAAAAATGAGTTTTTGATTTTTTTTAAAATTTAAAGATGTTATTGAAATTACAGAAAATTTATCGATTTTTTTTTGGATAAAATATAAAATTTATAAATATTTTTATTAATTTTGTCAAATAAAGAAACACATTATAATTTTATTTTACTAATATGTTATTCAATATTTAATTCTATTAATTCCTTAAATTTCTCATCCATTCCACGTCACAAATTCAGTAAAACATAAATTAAATAAAAATAAAAAAACAGAATTAGATTAAATCAAAAAGGTGGTCGGTGAATGGAAAACGCGGAGAAAAACGACGTCGGATGGCTGACACAAAAGTCAAAACTGGGAAACCGGAAGGCAACCGGGTGACTGGAACTCGTGCATGGAATCAGATCATACCATAGCCCCTGACCGTCTGACCGTTCCCCGGGCAGCTAGAACATGACAGCCCCTTCTTCCTCCCCATCTTCCTCTGCCTATAAATACAAACCCCTTAAACCATATTCTTCCAACAAGCTTAATAATTTCATGGCGAAGCCCGGCAACAATGGCGGAGCTTCGTTCAAACTCGATCGTAAAACCGTCGAGAAAAACCGAAGAATTCATATGAAATCACTGTGTTCTAAGCTCTTTGATCTTGTTCCTTCCTCCCATTACAAAATTTCTAAGGTTTTTTCATACCCAAATCTTGAACAATTGATATCAATTCATGTTCTAAGTGTAATTATTGTTTGTTCTGCACAGGATTTGCTATCCCAACAGACCCAAATCTCATACGTGATTGCTTACATAAACGAGCTGAAAGAAAGAGTGGAGAGTTTGGAGAAAAGGAAGGAAGCTTTACAATTACAAATTCATTCTCAATTGTCAACTTCTAATGATTCTACATTTCCTATAGTTGAGGTGAAAGAATTGTGTAGTGGGATCGTTCACGTAACGTTGATTAGCAGTGTCCATCGAAACGTCATGCTTAATGAAATCATTGTCGTCATTGAAGAGGAAGGTGGTGAAGTTGTGAGTGCTAGCTTCTCCACGCTCGGTGATAAGATCTTTCATTCCCTCCACATCGAAGTAAGTCGTGTTAGGAATAATGAACCTAAAGATGTCAACGAGACGGGAAACTTCTCTATCCCTATCTCTGCCTTCTATTTCATTTCTTATTCTGAAATCTCACATCAGTTGGAGAGTAGAACGAAACATTCCTTATAAGAGTGTGGAAACCTCTCCCTACTAGACACTTTTTAAAACCGTGAGATTGATGACAATACGTAACAGGTCAAAGTGGACAATATCTGTTAGCGGTGGACTTGGGTTGTTACACCTATTTCTTATTTTAATTCTCATATTATCTTTGTTTTTTTTCTCAAAAGACTTCATATCAATGAACATAGTATCTCTTACTTATATACTCACGATCTTTTCTCTTAATTAGTCAATGTGAGACTCTAATAAGTAATAAAAAAACCCGTCTTACTAAAACTCGATACGAGTTACGAGCTATAGTAAACTAAGCTTAATCTGTTTAATCGTATTCTTCTTACTTTGCAGGCTAAAATTTCTAGAGTTGGAATAGAGACGTCGAGAATAGAAAAAAGATTGGAGAATTTGATAATCGAAGCTCGAGAAGATGGACGAGATAAGGAATCAAAATCATTTCCAAAGTGTTCATCTTATCTTTCTCCTTCAAGTACGAAAACTTGAGACAAAAAATGGAGCTAAGAAGCTAAGAATATGAATAGTTTAACGTTGTTTCAAGACCAAGATTTGTCTAATGTTCTTCAAATATTGTCATTTTGTCAACTCTCATAAAATATATAAAAATAATGTCTGTTTTTGTGCTTCAGATGTTTTCTCATACTGTTTTGTTTCATTAATTGAAGTCGAATATTGAAATAAACCTAACACAAATGTCAATTGATATATAATTTAATAGACAACATATCTATAATAATTAATAACTTTATTGTTTTAATAATATATTTAAACACGGATACTTTAAAATTTTCACTCGAAAGAAACGGGTAGGTTATTGAGTTAGTATGGATGTCTTTTGGTGTTTCAAGTAGCATTTAAGTAACTTATCAATTATGAGTGTTCATATCACTTGATAACCCGACCAACCCGGACTACCCAATCCAAACCATAAACGTTGAGTTGGTAACAACTCAAACTCACTACTACCTGATATTTTTTGTTTTGGCTTGTTATATATCGTTGTCAGACTCACGGTTTTACAATGCATCTATTAAAGAAAGGTTTCCACACTATTATAAGGAATGTTCTCTTTCCCTCTTCAACGGATGTGTGATCTCACAATCCACTCCCCTATGAGCCTAGCATTCTCGTTGGCACACCGTCCCGTGTCTAGCTCTGATACCATTTGTAACAGCTCAAACCCAACACTAATAGATATTGTTAGTTACATATCACGGTCAGTCTCATGATTTTAAAATGTGTCTGTTAGGGAGAGGTTTCCACACCCTTATAAGAAGTTTTCGTTCCTTTCTCTCACTGATATGAGATCTAGCAACTACCCAACTGGGACGGGAAACAATCTCTCCCCTTTTCCTCTCCATTCTCCATTTAAACACGAATTTCCCTCCTAAGCTCTCGTAAGTCTCGACTTTACGAATCATACAGATATTTCTCATATCTTTGAATGATGTCCATTTCTAAAATAAAAAAAACTAATAATAAAAAAAGCTTCAAATTATGAGGTTATTTAGTTGCACACGTCTACATTTCATATCATTAGCTTAGCATCCAATTTTGACGCTTATTTTATTTCATTTATTAAATATAAAAAGCTACTTTCTTTATTATTATAATTTTTACTCTAATATTAAACATAAAATTCAATTTATATTTAAATATGTCTTAATTTTTATAAAAAAATATATATTAATAGTTCAGGAATTTACATTTTATACACAAATTAAAAAGTTTTAAGATATAATAAATATATTTTTTAATTTAACGACCTACCAATTATATATATATATATATATATATATATATATATATATATATATATATTATTTTTATTAAATTCTAGGTTATTATTATTCAAATTATCTAATTTTTCAACCTATTATTCACATTTTAATCATTGTTATAAAGAATACGTGTGGAATATTTCACGTTCACACCTTTTGCATCATAATTTGGATTAAAAAAAACACAAATATGTATATAATATTTAGTGTTTTAATCGAACTTTGAGAGAACTCAAGAACGACGTGTGAAAGAAAGTCGTCGTAAATACACAACTAAAATTGTCAAACCGCTCTTTTTTTTAACATGTTTTTAACGTTACACTAATTTGTTTAATGATAACGGTGTAATAACGTTATAACAAAACGAATAAAAATTGTTTTATTGCCAATATAGATATATTAGTGATGGTTTACTACAATGAATGAAAAATTTATTAATGAGAATATATTACATTACGAAAATATTAATAATGTTATGATTATCGTGACAAGTTCTTTCAAACAATGTCACCTTAGGTAACACTGCCTAGTAGTCGTCGTGTCTTAGTTGCAAGCATTCTAATGCCTACAAGGAAATGGAAGATAATATCAAAATACATTCGACGGGAAAAAAGCATTAACTTAGTGTCTTAGGTCACAATTGTATGAAAAAAGAGTAGGTTGTGACTCTCACGTTGCAGAGAAGAGTAATTGTAACAGTCCAAGTCCACCGCTAACACATATTGTCCT